CTGCAATGTAAAAAGAATGTGGTGCCAAGTTATTGCCTTTTTAATCACTTAATGAAGAAAATCAAGGTGAACAAACATTACAGAAAACAAGTTAAATGTTTTTATATTAATGAATACTTTTTACAGTGTTGAGTTTATTATAAAAGGAACAATATTACTGTGATTAAATGGCAATAAGATGTGATGAAGCAACATAACTGTCATCAATAAAAATGTGTGATGTTCATCCAAATAAAACTGATAGGATAGTTTAATATTAATATTTCACATGTACACTATCTTTGTTTTTTTAATATTCTGTAATGATTTAATATGAGCATAAAAAGTTACTAAACTTTGTTACTCAATATACAAAATAAAGTTACTGCCTTTTCCAAGTCGAATGTTGAGACTGCTTTTTCAACCCTTAATTGTTTAGACTGGTGAAAATCCCAGAACAGATCGAGCTAACTTGTATATAAACATTTCTTAAATATTTCTCATTTTGAGCAGCATTCATTCATATCTGAAACATGGTCAAAGGAATTTTTGGTGAGCCATTGGTTGTTGGGTTATACACAGGAATGGGATCCACTACACTGACAGACAGGTTGTCATCTTCTAACTTTGCAGTCTTGAGGAAAAGTGTCACACAAGCAGGTGCACCTTATTCTGACCCTGCCAAAAATGCAAGTGCCTGGGTCTTAAACATAAACGTATCTGGTCCTCTTTGGTAATGGCAGATGGGGTTAGCTGGTGGTCAGACTGGCTTCTTTCAGACGCAGTCTCTCTTTCTGAAATATGCAGAAATATGCATCATTATGAAGTCCCATTTAGCTGTGCATGCATTATGTAGTATAAAGGAATAGTTCACCCCAAAATAAAAAATTTGCTAAAACTTTACTCACCCTCAGGCCATTTGAGTTGTACATTAGTTTGTTTCTACAGATTTGGAGAACTTTATCATTACATCTTGCTCACCGATGGATCCTCTGCAGTGAATGGGTGCCGACAGAATGGCACACAAAAATCCACATGACTCTAGTCCATCAATAAATGTCTTGTGACATGAAAAGCTGTTTTTGTATAAAACAAATAAATTGTTAAGCCCTTTTAATTTGAAACGTTTAACTTCATGGATTATGGCGACAGTTTAAAGTTAAAATGCTTAAATGATGGATTCGTTTCTTACAAACACGCAGCTTTTCACTTCACAGGACATTTACTGATGGACTGGAGTCGTGGATTATTGTGATGCTTTTATCAGCTGTTTGGAGTCTCATTCTGACGGCACCCATTCACTGCAGAGGATCCATTGTTGAGCAAGTGATGTGATGCTAAATTTCTCCAAATATGTTCTGATGAAGAAACTCATCTACATCTTGGATGGCCTGAGGGTGAGTAAATGTTCAGCAAAATTTCATTTTTGGGTGAACTATTCCTTTAAGAAGTGTCTGGATTAAAAACCTGATTCATGAAAGTACAATAGTTACTAGTGTTTGAACCGCTTATCTATCTGCCACCCACACATCAGCAGACTCTTACCAGTCCATTCGCATGTGCCCTTCTGGTCTCAATCTTGTTCTCTGCTGTCATGTTGCGCACTGACTGTTGGGCCTCTTTGATTCTGAAATCAAAAAGAGCAGAGATTGTATTTTACTTAACCACAAAGTTTCAATTCCAGCCAGTTTTAATGCTGAAAATCACTAAAAACAACAACCGCCAGTGAAGAAGTCATCATTACCTAGGTTATCACACTGTGTGGTTTGGTCAGAGCAGTTATATACGATGCTAGATGCTCAAGATGCTGTTAACGTCTCACCTCTGTTTGGATATGACTTTGTTCTCTCTCTTCCACCTGATCTTGAAATCACTGCAGAATTCAAACCAAAGTGTGAAAACATGGCCAGGCAAAATCTCTGGCTCTCCAGAACGTGGCTTCAGTCCAAAGTACTCCACTAGGTCACAGAAGCTGAGAAAGGAAAGTCATGAGGTAAAGCTGGAGATAATGCCAAAAATGTTTACAAAGTTTGCATTTTTTGTAATATTTTGAACAAGAGTGATGTGCTACCTTTTATGTGCCGATATCACTTGATGTTCCACAGTAATTAGCTCTTTTTGTGCTGTAAAATGAAACATTTATATCAACAATTTTGCATTTTGATTATATCATAATCAGCACCACAGTCAATATTAAGCGCCAATATCTCTTCTATTACTTCAGGATCTTCATCTGTCCTCTTTTAACAGCGATAATGCACCGCTCTGTCAGTTATAATACTAACAGCATTATTGTCATATCATTCATAGCCTTTCTACAAGGGCCTCAAAGACAATGTTGAAACTCCTTTACTAAGAAGTCTCCTTCATTGCCAAAGTCTCCCTGATTCCTATCTCTGCGTCTGTCTTCTGAACCTGACCAGCTATCTCGTACAGGTACGGAGTTACAGACACTTATCAGGTCCCCCAAAAGAGCACATGGCAGATATTCTTCATGACTGCAGGATGTGTGCCGTCTTATCTGTGTTGCGGAGACAATCAAATAATTGTAGTAGGAAGAATGTGAGGAAAGGAAAAGCTTTGCTGCTATGTACATAACATAAACATGTATATAAATACATACATAAACTACAAACAGAATAAATATTTGTCTAGTTCACTAACAGCTAGCGTTGTCTCGTCTAGCTGAACTGTAGTAAATGACGACAAGTTTATGTTTTGCCTTTATGATCTGCAAAACAAAACAACCCTGTATACAATCTAAGCAAACTTTTGTTCTCCTCTCCATCAATCATCTAGAGAGGCAGGTCGTCTCAGAGACCAACGAGACTTCATATCTGAACAAGGTAGACGAGAGGGATTGGCTGATGTGACAGAGCACATAAATAGAAGGCTTAAAAACTTTGAATACAGATCCTCTTCTAAAAGGTAATGTGGGCTAATCGCACGCATAGCTCACCGTTGCCAATGAAAAAGTCCATTTTCACCTTGAAGGGATGTACGTGCTCATGAGATGAGTTGGTACACACAGTTAGGACATCCTTTTCACAAACTGTACGAGACAAAAACAATAACATTGGGTTAGAGTAAAGTCCCTGACCAGGTCCAATTTGAAGTAGTCATTCATTGTAAAACAACGTTTTTTAGCCAAAAATAAACAGTCCGATTTTTTTCTGTTAGACCACCATGAGCGCTTACTTTTTATTTCAATAACCTTGATTTTGAAGTATAAATGCCACAATCAAGCTAGAAGAATTTCTAAACTATAATGTTTTTTGCAGATGCCTTCTCACTAAGGCGATTTAAAATAAAGTGTGCATTTATATTACATTAATGGCAGTTACCTGGCAAAGTTTTAGACATCTGGTATAGGACACTTCAAATGCCAAGTAAAAGCAAACTGCAAATACAGTGAAATTCTTTCTAATCACAACACTAAACTGCTTATATGCTAATATGTAACCAATATGTTATTTTACAAAAAAAAAAAAGAGTGATTTAGGCATTAATGGTTTCTTTTGAAAGAAATCAATACATTTACTCAGCAAGGACGCATTAAATTGATCAAAACTCACAGTAAAGATTTCTGAAGGACCATGTGACATTGAAGACTGGAGTAATAGATGCTGAAAATTCAGATTTGCCATCACATGAATACAGTATATTAATTGTTTAAATATATTACTATATAATAGAACATTTACTTTAAATTGTAATATTTCAAAATGAATATATTATTATTAATATGTTTTTAGATCAAATAAATGTAGCCTTGTATTTCAAAATATATTATTGGTGAAACCAATACAATTTTTACTAAAACCATGTTTGTCACTATTACCATATTCTAGGTGGGTGACGATTGCATTTTTTCTTTTTTTCTTTTAACCAGGAATCAACCATCATTCACAACCTCAGCTTAAGTTGGCTTTATCAAGCCATTTAAAATCACAGCTACTGTGGTCAAAGCTATTAGCACATCGCTGATTACTTGCAGATGGAATGAAAGAGCTTTCTGCTGATAAATCAAAGTCTGTTTGTGCCTAATTACAACATCACTACGGTGAATTATGCCGATCACATCTGTAAAAACAATGATTACAGTAAATTGATTTTGATTATGAGCGGTTAATGTGAAAATGTGTAACATGAGGGAATATCCAAAGTCTAAAAACAAGTTGAGTGACAGCATTCTACTGTAGGTATGTTGATATTGTACTGTATATATCTTGACATATCAGCCTAATTGTGACGAGCTAAGTAGAGTAATTGCCTTATTTTTCTTGTGCTATAAACAAATGATAATACAGTCATCATTTGTTCGCCCTCACATCATTCCAAATTTGTATGACTTTCTTACTTTGATGTTAAAACTTATTTCGCATCTACAATTAAAGTCAACGAGGTCCAAAACAAGACTGGACCCCAGTGACTTTCACTGAATAAACAAAACAAAACACTCAGACTTTTCAAAATATCTTCTTTTGTGCTCCACGGAAGAAAGAATGTCATACAGGTTTGAAATTTCATGAATTTTAATTTTTTTGAGTAAACTATCCCTTTAAACCCTTTTTGTTTGCACTTATTACTAACCTACTGCCTCTAACCAATGAACAAGAAAACACAATAGAGCTAAAGCTCCACCTGTGACAGAGTCAGAGGTTATCAAATGTCTTTTTCTCTGGGTAAGATCTGTTTTGATGCACCTCTGATCGCATCCTCAGATAGTCATTGTGCCACCCGTGGACCTTTGTTCACCGTCCAATCAGAGGATCAGAGGAGCCAGTCTCCTGCCCCAGTCATAATACAGCCTGATGGGAAGCCAGGACTGTTGGACACGCTCCATCTGCATCTCACTCCAGATAAGGCTACACACACTACTGTTTTCATTAAGCATTTGTGTAAACTGTGAACACGGCTGGCAATGACGAAGAAGTCGAGTGTCTTCCCCACAGCATTTCTACGAGAAATATCGATTCATTACAGTCTAGCTTGATTAGGTTCTCATATATGTACTGTAGTTTCCGCCAAGGCGGCTCACAGCTACATTCACGTTTTCTCAACTGTGCACCGCAGCGAGCCAAACCACAATCACAAAGAGATCAAAAAGATGTCTCAAACGCAAACCAGATGAATCAGCTGTGGAGACTGAGAGCATTAGATGTGCTTCACAATGTTGTCATAATTGTCTCTGGAAAATAAAATCACAGGGACATTCCCTTTTTGTGTAGGCACACAGTGACTAATTTGATTAGTGCAGCACTTTCTTGCTCCGCAACATAGCATCGCAGACAAATGCGCTCACCTTGAGCAGCCAAAACCTCAGTGGGGCTGTAAGTAATGCACACAAGACACCAAAAATTGAACAAACACAGCACAAAAACAAAAAAACAAAGACATAATTCTCTCGCAGTCATGAGGGGAGTTCAAACAGCAGGGAAAAAAAAGGGAGAGCGCGATGGGCCAGATTTGGCAGTCTCTCCGTCGCCCGATAAGAAAGGCTTGTTGAGAGGTAAAGAAAAGAATCTCTGACACACATCTGCAGGGCCACACTGAACTCGGACTGATACAGTGTAGCACGAGAACGGCAGTGCATCTCTGTGCAGATTAAGCCCATCCCGCCAGCGATAAACTGCTCTTCTCTCAGATTACATAAGCGCCAAAGCACTGTAGCCTTTGGCCCCTCCGACGGAGCTAAAGAATCACACAATGCCAGAAGCATCTGATGGGCAGGATTAAAGTCATATCTAAAAGGCGCCAGGGCAAAACCACACAGACTCCACTTCGTCTCCACAGACATGTACATACGCAAACATGTCTGTATATTCCACCTGATCTAATGTGGTTTAATAATGAATTGTTGCTAACAGATGCTGTAAAGTCCTCAGGATTCAGCTGGAGCCATGTTGCAGGATTGTAGCCATCCATCCACTCAAACCCATGTAATCTTGCTTCTTTTGATGCTAGAGTAAATCAGTGGCATGCTAAAATCGTTCCTGAAGACCTTCAGAGTGTTTTTGCTAATTCTTACCTGTCAGGTCTCTGTTCAGCTTCCTGAGATCCTTTGAGAGGTCATCAAACTTCACTTGAGAGGAAAGAAAAACATCTTGAGGTTCGGGCAAAGGAAAGATGCTCTTTTCTGTCCCAGCGTTCTGAAGAGAGATTTAAGGGTCAGTGACATATTTAGGTGTCCATGATAAAGAAAAGGCTTACAAATCTATATTAAAACATGTGTCAAGTTATTACCCCAGCATTTAAAAAAACATTTCTAAAAGAAGTCTTTTATGCTCACCAAGGCTGGATTTATTTGATCAAAAATGCAATAAAAAGGGTAATATTGTGAAACATTATTATAACTTAAAATAACTGTTTTTATTTTCATATACTTTAAAATGTCATTTGTTCTTGTGATGGTAAAGCTGATTTTTCAGCATCATTACTCCAGTCTTTAGTGTCACATGATCCTTCAGAAATCATTCTAATATGCTGACTTGATTGAGATCAAGAAACGTTTCTTATTATTATCAAAGTTGAAAAGTTGTGCTGCTTAACATTTTTTTTGTGGAATATTGTGGAATTATATATTTTTTTCCAGGATTCTTTGATGAATAGAAAGTTCAAAAGAACAGCATTTATTTTAAATAGAAATCTTTTTTAACATTATAAATTGATCAATTTAATGTGTCATTTATTGTATAAAAAGTCCCCCCTCCACCAAAAAAAAATAAAAAATCATATTTATTCCAAAGTTTTGAACAGTAGTGTAGTTTATTTTTTATTCATGTAGGTTTTAAAAACCTTTAATACCATTTTTAAGAAAAAATGAAATTTAATAAAATAAAATAAACATTTTTTCTTCATTTTGATATCATTATGAGAGCACCCTGACATGTTTGAATCAAAATTATTTTTAATTTAGAAATGAAAAACATTGCATTTTAGTATATTCAAGTCATTGTATAAATTGCATTTTTCATGTATCACTGAATAAATTAACAGAAATTAATTAACAGAAAAATGAGTCATTGACCCTGAAAATAATGTGACCAGAAGTGTGCAGATCTGTACTGTGCAAAATATATCATTGCATGTGAAGAATTACACGTTCATGGTTTACCTTATCAAGGTGACGCAGATAGTAGGAAACAATGTAGTCCAACAGACTAATGTGATTTTCCTGCAGATTTATAAAGAATTATGTCAAAAGCGTACATCACCTTGTACAAACAGAAAAAACAAGGCTCTATCAAACACCTCAGTGTGTTTGTGTGTGGCTAGGGCTTTCACGGTGTCAAACACGGGCTCATGAAATGGAGAAAAAGGTTACCCTGCTCTTGACGTCTTTAAGCTTAGGAAGAATCTCAAGCCCGAAGCCGTCAGCCTGTCCTCGAGCTCTGCTGCCTCCATTCATGTAGTTTCCCAGAGCAAGCACCAGTCCTATCACCTCCTTCACACTGTCTTCCTCCAACAGATACTAAAACACATCACCATTTATTTGTGAATTTATCACTCTTCATAATGGAGATGTTGGAGACAAAGCAAGCACTTAGACCTCACTTGAATAAACGGAAGCTGTCTGAAGGGCTGTTTTTGACTGTTAAGAATGCCAGCATTGATACTTTATCAAATGTTTGATAGTATCTGAGGTCTGACCTCTTTGAAAAGTGCCTTTGTACCTTGCAGACGTGAAGAATAATCTCGGTCTTGCGCTGTATGGAGGCAACGGCGTCAGTAAATTTCGACTGAAAAATTAAACAGTGAACTCGACTGGAGAACTCAGGGATCTTGGAGAGTTCAAACAGGAACCTGTCAAGGAAAAGCAATGAACATCTGTCAACCTAAAGTGCGTAGTGTTGAAAACACTACTCTGTCTTCGTCTGTCTTCAAATGAAGGAACCTTAGAGAAGTATACATTGCAAAAAAGTGCCCTTGTAAGTGACAATTGACGTATCACTAGTCGCTAGTTGCAGGAAAAAGTGAGTTATCTGGTGTGTTTCTGGAATATCTCACTGTTCAGGCTTGTCCAGTAGTTTGACCTGCTCCTCGTCTGAGGTTTCATAGTGTTTCTTAATCTTCTCTAACTCCTCGGGCTGAGCTCTCTGGGAGAAACAGAACAGACGCATTCATAAGACAACTGACCAATGATACACACATAAACTTATGAAACCACACAGGAACTATCAATTACTTAGTTATGTTGGAACTGGAACTAGTATTTATGTGAATTGTCTGGAGTGATTTTGTTGAGAAATGTGAGTTGAATGGATTTAAATGAGTGCTGTCAAACGATTAATCGCATCCAAAATAAAAGTTTTTGTTTACATAATATATGTGTGTGTACTGTGTATATTTATTATGTATATATAAATACAAACACATGCATGTATATATTTCAGAAAAATATGTTGTGTTTATATATGTATGTATAATATAAAATATAAGAATATAAATGTATATACATGTAAATATTTTAAAAATATATATACTCTGTGTGTGTATTTATATATACATAATAAATATACACAGTACACACACATATATTATGTAAACAAAAACTTTTATTTTGGATGAGATTAATCGCGATTAATCGTTTGACAGCACTAATTTAGATACAGTAAAATGCTTAAATACAGTAAAAATGTTAATTATCTGAAATATTTAAAGGAATATCCTACAAATTAAGCTAAATTTAATCTCAGCCTTTTAGCTCCTTTTTTTAACCCAGTAGAAATCTGGGTTACAGTGCGACATTACCAATGGAAGTGAATGGGGTCAATCCGTAAACATTCAAATATTCTGTCTTTCAACAGTATAGCCACAAGATGTAAACAAAAGGTGTGTTACCATGATTTTAAGATGGAAAAAATGTATAGTGACCTTTCTGTTTAAAATTCTATACAACTGATGAAAATACATCATAAACCCTAATATCACAGTAAAAATACATAAGAATAATTAATGTGCTTCATATAAAATAATAATCTCCACATTTCTGCTTTTAAATCTTCCAAACATTGGCCATAATCACTTTCACTGTAACCTCCATTTTTACTATTTTCAACAACACAAAAGAGAAAACATGCAAGGGGTGCAGGACATGTAGGACTTTGTGAATGATGGATGTTCAAATTTTGTGCAAAACTACTGTTTTGGAGGCTGGGATTCAGTGTGGGCCTGTACATAAGTAAATTTCCAGTGTGGCAGGATACTTACATTTTCATACAGGGCTTCAATTGCATCCAAGTCAACCACAGAATTGTCCAGAGTCAAAACAGCTGTGTAGGGAAGAAGTATTAGTCTCTAGACAAGAAGACTGATTAGTTATTGGACACGTGTGCGTCATGGATGTGATAAGTGAATGTAAAAGTGGCTAAATATGTATTTGAGAGCTTTTTTTTCCCTGAAGGAATTCACTGTTCAATTTACTAAAGTCATCATAAACATCTGCCTGTCTGACTCTGTTAAGCCAAACTGTGATGACTTCAAGATTTTCAATGGGAAAAGTATAGGACTGATGTACACACCATAATGTGGAGAACCCAAAGAGTATTTCTAGCGGTAAACCACAAGACAAGTTTATTTAACAAACATACAGCCAATTTATTCCTAATAAGAGCTGGAGCCAATCACATTGTTGCAAGATATGTCTCTATATACAGAATCATTTCAACATCATGTCTTAGCTTGCCTTTCGCCATCCAGGCCACACAAATATGTATCATTTTAACATGTCTGTTTATTATTAGTGGAGGAAAAATGAGTCTGGATAGAATAAAATGACACTCTGCTGAGCTGGTGGTCGAGTATTTCTCAGCATATATACAGTGTGATTCACCTTGCTGGATGTCCTTCATCTCCAGATGGAGACTTGAGATTAAGATGCCCACGGCCTGAGAGCGCTTGCCATCCAGTAATTTAATGACCTAAAATCCACATTCACAAGACAAACCCCACCACAGAATAGCATTTACTTCTAAATGACTTAGATCATAAGTTAAGTGCATTCTGCTTACTCTACCATATGAATACAAGGTCGCAAAGACTCATGCTTGTATTATGCAAAAGTGGAATGAATGAATAACAAAAGAACCTTTGGGAAATTCCAAACTTCCATTATAAAATGCCTGCCAAAGGTAACAATGGCATGATCACATTTCATAAACAGGTTCATTTATTTCAAATTATTCCCATTTCCTATATAATTATATCAATTTCAAAGGCATTTGTGGGATCCTGATATTACACATAAGCATTTATATCAAAAACTGCAGATTCTATCAAGTGACAGCACCTGATAAATTATGTTTCTGTTTATAAAAACGTAATTATCAAGAGGTGAATGCATGAATGCATCATTTCTGCTAGTGTTCCAGTAATATATATAATTCGGAAGTGTTGAAAACTGCTCCACCTAGTGGACACTTCTCAAATCTGCACTTTGAGCAATGAATTACATTTATGCATTTGGGCAGACACTTTTATCCAAAGCGACTTAAAGTGCATGTGCATTTTTTAAAATTAGTTCAATCAAACCAACATGCTTGCATTTGCTATATAAATATGGGATGGACCCTCTCTATGTCATATCATTTTTCTCATCTTCAGGCAAGAGTGGTACCTTCCTGGCTTTGGTTTTCTTCTCATAGGCTTCAGATAGGGGCTTTCTTTTGGTGGGCGATGTGGCTTTAGCAAACAGTTCCGCAAACTCATTGGTGTTTATTATCTCTGGCTCTTCCAGGAAACTCCATAGTATATTGTTCCTTAGAAAAGACAGAAACAGATGACGAGAGATTTAATGTTTTTCCAATATTTAACATTTTCAACAGTTTTGCTCACTTTAAGGCTTATCGAGATTGAATCTTCACACTTCAAAGTCACAGAACAGGCCACGACCAAAGCATTTCCTAATACTGGCATCTGTAAAAACCAAAGTTAATGAGTTATTTACTGTTGCTGGGTAAGCATGCCTACAAGCAGGAAAAGTAAAATCAACAGGGGCTCAATGTGAGTAATCTGATTAGCTAAATGTTCTCTCCCATAAAAATAATTAAGGAGCCAGGACGACGGCGCACAGCTAAGCTTGACTGGGTTCGGCTTTGGCTTGACAAAATGCTCACGGAGAGAGCAGAAAGCTTTCATGAGGAGTCAAATAACATTGCAACAGCACAGAGGTGGCCGGGGAGCCGAATCCCACAGAAATCCACACCGCCACTAGAGGTCCTGGAAAGACTGCCGCTCGGCCTGTGGCTGGCCCCTCACGCAGACAAATGTCTGCAGTGGTCTGTCTTAAGCATCCCATGAGGTCTGACGAGGGAGAGTTGAAAATGTCAGCGTCACTTGTGGACATACATTGTGTGGTTGAGGAATGTTATGAGTGATGAACAATGGAAATGTTTATATGGAATACAGGTAGAGTGGGATGGTGTTTTTTTAAGGTTTTATTTTTTTTAGTTTAGAGCAGTTAAGAGCTATTTAAAAGCATGGCCAGTGTAACTAAAACTCTTAAGTCAAATATAAATATTAGATGGAAAACTTTTGAGACTTAAAAAAAATTAGATGTTTAAGATTTAAGTATAAAAATTACTAAAACTAAAACTGAAATAAAAGAAAACTGAAGCTATATAAAAATAGTTAGCTATATAAAGCTATATAAAATATATATAAAAAAACTAAAAGCAAATGTCAAAATTTCTAAAAATAAAATGAAAACTAAAAATATAAAAATAAAAGCTAAATCAAATAATAAAAAAACTATAATACTGTATTAATAATACTAAATGATTACAGATTGTGTCAGTGGCTAAGCACTTTGTCATGATATCTTAAAACAATGCGAGTGAATGACGGATGATCAGAAGTGTCTCTTTTTACCTGTATTCAGTATATAATAATACAATTGACATATTTGTGTTTGGGTCAATGACATATAAGTGTAAAAATTCTTTTAAAAATCTACTTTAAAAATGTATCTGATATTTTCAGAGATTTTTGATCTTGACACGCAGTCATGAGGGGACTTCTTGAACATACAATTTCCTGTTTTATGGGTTTGTTTATGCTTCTGCATATTGATCGCACCATGCCTCAGCAGTCAAGTAGATTTGTTAAAATATTATTCACTTTTTTGAACAAAACGTAAAATGAACTCATTCTTTTAATAAGGTTTCTTCATTATATCAAGACATAAAAAATAAACAAAAATAAATTAGGCAAAAAAACCCCCCCAAAAAACGGACTGCTATGTTATTGACCTGCGGCAATTAAAATATGAGGTAAGGTGATAAGGGATACCTGTTATCTTGAATCTGTATCCGTGTCCAGTACAGCGGTTTCATTGGACAGACTGGTTCCATTGACGGCTTGCGAGCAGGATTGTCTGCCGCTTTACTGGAGAAGATACCAACTCCAGGAGGAGGGGGAGGAGGAGGGGGGGCAGAGTGGAGGACAGGTGGTGGCACACCACATCCTGTCATTGGTGGAGGTGGTGGAGGAGGCACACTTCCTGGCCTCTCTAGTGGCTGAGCAGGAAGTGGAGGTACATTAGGAGTACAAGGGCCTGTTGGAGGAGGAGGAGGAGGAGGGGGTGGAGTATTGTTGCTATCCATCTGTAACTGAAGTGATACAGGTGGGGGAGCTGGAGGAGGAACGGTCTTTAGTTTGCCAGTAAAGTTTTTTGTTGAGTTGAGGTCAGCATTTTTAGGCAGGGGGTCAAAACCCCTGCTCTGGGTTTCCTTGGCCTCCTCAGGCTTGTTGACTGTCTCTCTTTCTGTCTGAATACATACAGAGCGGAAGGCCCGTGGCTTGATGTTGTCTTCAGTGGACACAGCAGCATCTCTGTGATTTCTGTCTCTTTCTCTTTGTAAGCTGGCGATGGTTGTCCCTAATCTGGACAGATCCTCTTCATTCTTCTTTTGTAACTGGAAGAGCTCAAGTTTGAAGTCAACCTGCATTAAAAAGTCCAAACATCAACATACAGTACATAAAAAAAATTTTCCCCAGAGAATGCATGAACTGATTAAAAAAAATCTCACCTGTAACTTCTCCACCTCTTCATTACATTCCCTTTTTAGCTGCAGAAGAGCTGCCTGATGCTCTGAGAATATAAAACAAAGACATGACTAAATGTATCACAAAACCCATTGAATAGTTCTAGAAACTCGATAAATCAAAGCTCTACCATATAATATATGTAAATATATAGAATAATATGAATGTATACACTATACCATTCAAAAATTTGGGGATGGTACGATTTTTAAACATTTTTCAAAGACATCTCTTATGTTCATTAAGGCTGCATTTATTTGATCAAAAATACAGTAAAACAGCAACATTGTGAATTATTGTTTACAATAAAAAATGTTTTCTATTTTAATATATTTTAAAATGTAATTCATTTCTGAGATGGCAAAGCTGAATATTCAGCAGCCACTACTCCAGTCTCCAGTGCCATAAATAAAAAATATTGAAAACAGTGCTGCTTAATTATGTTTATGGAGCATTTTTTGAAATATAAATCTTTTGTAACATTATATGTATTACTTGCTGATTTTTAATCAATTTAATGCATCCTTGCTGAAAAAATATCTTACTCTATCATAAATGGAATGAAGAATTGGATATCCAATAAATGTTGCAGATGTAAACATTTCCAATAGATGGCAGTGGTGGGACTGTTATAAATGGATGATCATTGCCTTGTCTAGAGCAGTGTTTCCCAACCTTTTTTTAGTAGCAGCACCCTTTGGAAATTTTAACAAATTTGTGGCACCCTACAAAATTAATTTTGTCACAATATTTGAATTTCTAACTTCAATATGATACTTTGAAACGTGTAGATATTCGGTACAGCAGGGAAGAACTGCAGAATATAGAACCATGGGAAAACTGTCCGACTTTTATGTAAGAACTAAGTTCCTCAAGTATAATCATACCAAGACATATGACAACACCATTCTGACTGTGTGCTTTTTAGGTGTGGCTGTGGACTGCACACCCTTTAAATCTATAAGACACTGCAATATGGGCAATGGAACTGACGCTCAATAAGGGTGATTATAAAACTATATAGTATTGAATGCACACATTTGGCATAAGACTAGTGACTGCATTACTGAGAAAACATTCAGTCTTACAAATAACAAATAGTGTGACATTGAGTCATTTCATCAGTAGAACAGCCCTAGGAACACATTTGGGGTGGAGGTGTATTGGAATTTGTTTGGACAGTGTTGTGTCATTAGATACTAAGGCAAATACTGGAATCAGAGCAAACATTTACACTTACCGCTGTTGTTTCTGATTATATAATAAGCCCTTACCTGCTTCAGTGTATTTTAGACCAATCTTTTCCTCTTCGTCTTTGGGTTTTGGTGGAGGCCAAACAGTCTGAAGTCGCTTAGGAGTGTGCTCCTCACTCACCTCAGCCTATAAGACACAATTAATGTGCATTGTACCATTTAAATATGTTGAAATAAAGAGCCTATTAAAATAAAATAACTAAAATGATTACACTTCATAGGTGCACATAAAACAAGGCTTTTCACGTGTATTGATACTGAGATGCTACCATCAAATGCAATCATCTGTTCACTTCATACTTTGGAATCAGTAGTTTCTTTGTTGTCTGGAGACTTGCTTGAGGTCCTATCAAAGAAGGCTTTGAGGACGTCTTTGTCCCTGTTGATCTTCCTCTTTACAGTGTCCAGGTCCATGCGATTTGAAGTGTCCTTTTTGGCAGATTTAACTGCGAAGAAAGCCTTCAATGCACCTAAGGCCGTCTCTGCATTTGTAGATTTGTTTGTTTCCTCAGACTGGAGAATGGCCGGCTCCTCTACAGTTGTCTCTGGCTTTTCTGCAGGTTCCTGACTGATTGGAGACAGTGGGGGGCTTGTCATGCTCTCTTGCTTTCTCTTCCCTTCCCCCTTGCTGAGGAATTGGGTAAGCTGTTCTAGGAAGTCTCCCTTGACTTCTTTCTTGTTAGACTGATCGGTAAAAAGTCCTCTTTTGGCAGGGCTTTGGGGTTGCTCTGGAGTGTCTTTTTCCTCACGGGCTTCTTTCTTGGGGCTGAGCAGCCCGGTGAAGAGGGACGACAGTTGGAGGGGTTTTTCTTTTACTGCTTTGGGGGTTTGGTCAGTTGTGGTCTTCTCAGTGGAAGATGAATCTGTATCTAACATAGTCTCTTCTTGTATTATTTCTTCTTCGTTCTCTTTATTCATTTCTTCTTCTGTATGCACTTTTATCACCTGTTCCTCCAGCTGGATGGTCACCGGTTCTGGTTCTGAGTTATCTAGCTCAGTTGAACTGTGTTCTTCAGTGTCACAGAGGCCAGAACCTTCTGAAATCTCACCTCCAGTCTCAGAATGTTTCATTTGGTTCTTCTGGCTTGTGGCAGGTGGATGGACCTCCACAAACTTGCTGTCTGATTCTGCACTGCTTCTATTGAATGTAGCTTCACCAACAGTCTCATCTCTCGACTGGATCTTTGCAGTATCTACACATGATCCTGCAGAAAGATCTTCAACACGTGTAAGGGTGATGACTACAGTTCTGGTGTTCGCAGGTGAGTTTGAAGAAAGAACCTTTTTAACTTCACAATGTGTTAATGTGGTCTGAATGTCCATGTTTGTGGATGTCTGGTGGTCGTTAATCAGAGTTTGTTCATTTGCACCAGTTTTGGTTACCTCTGGAACATCTGCAGAGTTTTGATGATTTCCATCACGCTCTATTTTGCTCTCAGCAGCAGATACGTCCTGCTGACTTTGCACTGAAAAGTCATTGTTATTTGTGGATGAGTTCAAAGACTCTGCATCTTTAGTGTCTGTGAGGATGTCCTGACAGACTCTGTCTTTCAATGGTTCTTTCTCGGTGTTCTCTCTGAACATTTTCATTTTTTCTTTGCTGCTGCTGCTGCTGGGTTCCTCTATGTGGCCTTCTTCTCTCTTATTTTGCACAACACCAAAAAGCTCCTCATTGCTGACATTACCTGATTCCATAACAACGGTCTCATTTTCAGATATGTCCTGCTCGAGTCTGTTTTTGCTCATATCCTTATCATTGCTTTTTGAAACAAACTCTTCATCCCTGTATAAAGATCCTTCTCTGAAATCAGGTTCTTTATTATGCACTGTAATGAGTGCTGGGTTCTCAAGTTGTTTGTCCAGTCTGTTAGCACTGTCACTGGCTGAGACCTCGTAAAGTGATTTAGACGTTGTGTCAGCTTGACCATCTGTTACATCCTGGTCAGTCTGGCGTGCTGCTGATGTTTTATTGTAATTATCTCTCACGTGGTCAACATTCAGGTCCAAGTCCACTTCCTCCTTTTCTGAAGAAAAATCAATTTCATCCGTTTCATTAACATTCTGATGCTCTGATCTGTCGACATGGTCCCTTGTTCTGTCTTTCTCAGCATTTGTTTGTAAAGTCTGAACAATTATATCAAAATCATCCCCTTGATCATCGATGCCATCCTGCCTTTGAACACATTTTTGTTGATCATTAGCATCTCCTTTCTCAGTCAAAGAATGAAAAGAAGTCACATTTGGACTCTCCTCAGTCTGTGTTTGGAGTTCATGCTTTTCATGGTGAATAAAAAAGTTTGTTAATTTGTCCAAAAATGAATTGCTGGGCTTACTCTCCATTTCCTTTCGGTACAGTCTACTGCCTCTTTAAGACCAAATTTAGTCTGTCTGTATTCAAACAACCATATTCCACAAGTGAATAAAACAGGAAGCAAAGTCAAAATTCAAATCTCCGGAGTTAAAACTGAAGTGTCCATGTTTGCCGTTACAAAAAGTCTAGGTTCTTTCCATTAGCCTTCCCAAGTCTAGCCAACTCTGAATTTCCGGTCCTTGTGCTGACAAATTATGAATATGAATAAGTTCCATATATTATCTTTTACTGTTTTGAAATACCGTTCTGTTTTAATAAAATAATTTTAGTGTAGGTCTAGTGTAATATGTTGTCCTTACATGAAGTTTCCAGAATTACGGACGCCAGGAAAATGTCCATTAAAAAGCAGAGATGCTGTTCTCAGTCTCTCATTACAGGAGAGCTCAAGAAATGGAAAAAAACCAAAAACATTCCGCAACAACATTCTAAATAGTGCCAGCATGCAGCTTGGTCCTTTTATCCTGCCTTTACATTCTTTTTAGCCTCTTCATTCTTTTCCATTTTGGATTTTGTAATGTTTACTTGATTTTAATCCACAGTTCGCAACAAGAGTGCATACACCAACACATGAAATACACATATAGGCAGTAAGCGCTCCACCCACCTATTTTCTGCCACATGATTTCTGGTCACACACTCAGTCGCCCATGAGGAAGAAGTGGCACCTCAGTACCACACCCAAAAGAGCACACAAAACTCCAGTAAGAGTAACTGTCCAGTCAGGACAGTCTATCCTGCTTCTATTAGGCTGGATATCTCCTTCTGTCCACTTCACACTGGATAATGTCACATTAATCAGTGAGATTAACCTGTTAACCCCACCTACATCCTTGTTTTGTCATCTGTTTTGGCTGTAGAAACCAGTCCTGATACAGTCTCTTTACTACAGTAATCCACAAGGTAAGAACAATGTAAATAGACATCATTCACTATATTTGAAATAATAAGCCTAATATTAATAAATACACAATGTCATTTACCTCAAATGAAACCTTTAGATAACAAAATATCTTAATTATGCTGGACACTTGAAAATATAATTGTATAATTTTTTCTGAATAATGCATCAAGCATGAGAAAACTGATTTAATTTTACAACTTAAAAAATACAAATATAAATTATATATAAGTAAATTATATTTTAAATGTTCTAAAAACTCTCAGATTACACTTAAACATTTAAGGACTTGATTTTTTTATTACAAAATGTACTGGTAATTTTCTGCCAGGACAATATCCATTTTAAAGTGATTTTTATTCTTACAGTGGGTTTTCTTTAAAATCAGGGCTTGCAATAATCATGGGTAAAAAGCATCTACTGTTTTGTGACATTGATATCACACACTAATAAATGAATTAACATACAATAGTTAACTGCAAGTCTGTCACAAATAAATAATGACAGTATTTTCAAACACTCACAGTGTGGTCACGGTCAAGAGAGAAATGTGGAGTACTGATGATCTCATCTTCTTCACTTCCTTGGCTTTTGGACACAGAGTTGCACAAGGACACATTACCAATGTGCTCACATGGCCACTTCTCCTCTGCATGCACCCTGTTCTCACTCTCCTCTGTGGAAAAGCAAAAACTAAATTATTCATACCCAAATTTTAATGACTGAATATTCTCAAAATAACCCACCAGACAGGTGGCTTTAGATTTGGACCCTACATCACAAAATATAATAAATATGCATTAGCCAGATGCATGAGACGAAGGTTATTGACAGTTACAACTGCTAGTTGACATACATATGTATAGCAACAGTGCTGTTTGACACAAGATCAGTGCACATAATTTGAAAATGTATCTGTGAACATTTAAAAATAGATATTTGAAAAGCCACCTTCTTCCTTATTGACTGTTTTCCTTATAGCAAGCTATCAGGAATACACAGACTGCCACAGAGTGGACACTGAAGTGTACTGCAATTTAGAGGTAAAGTGACAGTGTCGTCTTCATTCAGTATATCTTGCCGCACATTTTGCTTTCATTTCAAGACAATTTCTATATATAGTAAAAATAAGAATTCAGATACCAATAATTGGACATTCTGCAAGTGAAAATAAGTCTTATTAAATCAGACAAATACATGGAAAATCTTTACACAGTTGATTCACTCACAGCATGATATCAAGTCCAAGAATCAATAATCCCTTTATCCAGTAAATAAACAGCTGAGGGTCACAGTGCGTTCAGTGAAAGTGTAGGAGAGCTGAGATCCACTGCAGAGCAGGAAACAATGTACAAACAATCGATGAACAGATTTCACTGAATATGCAGGAGAGAACAGGAATGTGCTGTCTGCCGTGCAGCCGACAGTTACATAATTTTAAATGGTCATAGATTTGGGGAGAAAATTGTGTTTGTTCTTTCTTTGAAATGTTAGCCTACATTACCTGAAGGATTGTCACTGGTTTTGATTTCCATCATAATTAGAAATGAAAGAATGTGCTTCGAAGTGCTCTCTGCTCCCTGTTCATTGAGCAGGGAATATCTGTACAGGCTCACTTAACATTTTTTAGTGACATATAAAAGGCTCAACATATCAGAACCATATTAGATCCAGAAGAGAAAAAGATATAGGCCTATAAATGTCTAAATAAATAAATAAATAAATTTTATTTTACCCCACAGAGGATGGGGTTTTAAGAATCTAAATGTGTGTAATATTTTGCAAACGTCTGAAGAAAAAGAAAAAGAAAAAAAGAAAATCGGTCATTATTTGTAACGCCCTGCGGCGTCATCAAATACAGACGACACTAAGTCCGAAAGTCGCGCAAATGTATGCCTGTAAATCTGAAATTAAAGGTTTAATTAAAGTAGCTGTCAGAAAGATATGGCAAGAGAGATGGGATAAAGGTAACAAAGGGCGACATTTGTATAATATAAATAAACAAGTAGGACACGTAAGAACTGCTTATGGTAATAGAAGGGATGATACAGTTATATCGCGATTGAGAATTGGACACTCTACTCTTAATAAATCACTCCAGATGATAGGAAGACATGAATCTGGTCAATGTAATCATTGTGGACTTCCAGAAACTGTAGAGCATGTGCTGATTAACTGTAGGGCATATGAAAGGGAAAGAATACAGTTAAAAGAGGAATTAAAATCTGCCGGCATTAATTCTATGACATTACAGAGTGTGTTAAACAGTTCTCATAAAGGTTATAAAGCTCTTATACATTTTTTGAAAATAACAAATTTATATAATAAAATATAGGTAGAAGGTATTTTTTTTTTTGTTTTTTTTTGTTTTTGTTTTTGTTTTGAGAATTAGCATTTCCCTTGATATCAGCGCCTCACACTCCATCCCAGTAGGTGGCGGAATATGCACCAAAAGCTGGTTTGCCAACCGCCAACAGGTTGCCAACTCTTACGCATTTGGCGTGAGACACACGCTTGCAGGCTCTGTCTCACGCTCTCACTCTGCTCATGTAAATCTCACGCCAAATTGGCAACCCTGCTTGCGATGTGAAACAAAAAATTTTTTTATTTATGTATTTATTTATAAAAAATTTTTTTTATTTTTTTTATTTTTATTTTTTTAAATTAGCATTTCCCTTGATATCATCGCCTCACACTCCATCCCAGTAGGTGGCGGAATATGCACCAAAAGCTTGTGAAACAAAGTATCAGCTTTCAAATTTTGTAAGTTTTAATACTAAATTCAAACAAAAAATACCGTTTTAGCGCACTTAATGTGGCGTAAATCGTAAAATGTAGCGCTTCAGTTAAAGCCAGAGCCATTGAAAAACAGAGTTGCGACAAGCTTTGATCTCGCAGGCGTCGCCGCGCGGTCACGTGGCTCATGGAGCTCTCTAAACAAACCAGCGCACAATACAGTTGAATGGGTTTAAGTAGGATAGACGACAGCTTCATTATACAGGTATTTGCAGCAATTTTTTGCTAAACATTACAGCATATTATGCATTGATTATTACGTCGATGACATTTACAGTATCATCTTTATTCTGGTTTTCTTAGCCTAACCCTCAGGTAGGCCTATTGCTTACTTATAATGTGACCATACAGCTTAATTATTTTTCAGTTAAATAAGTGTTGTATATTTTAGTTCAATAATATTTATTTACTATTTTGAGGAGATCTTTTGGTACTAAATACTATTTGTGCAATAATTATGGTCCATTAATGACTTAATTTTTTTTTCTAATATTTCTACTACTTCTATTACAATTAGTGTAGTATTTAAGATAAAAATAGAGAAAAGGGTTTTAAATTCCTAAGCAAAGAGGCAAATTAGAGTCATTTTGTGGTCAGAAAAAAATCATTTTCATTTGTAATGCCATGGTTTACCCACTAGGTACCTGTATGGCTCTTTACCAAATGTATCTAGAATATTGCAGGTCATACCCGCTTAATTATTTTTAAGTTCTTCATTTGAATAAATATTTAGACATGATTAAACACTAGATTTTTAAATGAGAAATTTAACAAGTTAATAACTTACATCCTTTTATAATGATACTTGCATAATTACATACAATGAAAGCAAGCAAATACTCAATGTTTAAAATGGTGCTAAAAAGGCATTCAACTGCATTCAATCGAACATTAAATATAAAAAATGGTATAATAATTTAATTATTTAAATTGATCTGAACCGTTATATTCGAAAATAACTGTGATTCGTATAGTAATGCACAATATGCGTTTTCCCCTAATAGGTATGATAATCATAACGGTTAACGTTATATCTCGTGCACATGCACATGTTACTCCAGCTACATTTTACCTTGTTTCCCCGCAATGGCTGGTATGGCGGGTAAAGTTTCTGTCCATATATGTCGTCGCTGTAAAGTAGGCCTGCTGCACTTATTACTTTACACACTTTATAAGCTGTGGCCAAATATGTATTCGGATGTACAGTCATGGCCAAAAGTTTTGGAGTGACATAAATTTTGTGTTTTGCAAAGTTTGCTTATGCTTATGATTGCTTATGGTAGCATTCACCTTTTCTTCTCCAAACAATCGATTTTCCAGATGTCCCAAACAGTCGGAAGGGAGCTTCATCAGAGAAAATAACTTTGCACCAGTCTTCTGCTGTCCAATCCTTGTACTTCCTGCAGAATTTCAGTCTGCCTTTGACGTTTTTCTTGGAGAGAAGTGGCTTATAGTCGCACATCCAATGTCAGGTCAGGTATAATCTCTTTAT